CTGAAATTTAAATCTGAAACCTAAATCTGAAACCTAAATCTGAAACCTAAATCTGAAGCTTAAATCTGAAACTTAAATCTGAAATTTAAATCTGAAACCTAAATCTGAAACCTAAATCTGAAATTTAAATCTGAAACTTAAATCTGAAGCTTAAATCTGAAACCTAAATATGAAACCTAAATCTGAAACTTGAGCCAGTTTCCAGTTCTAACTCGCGTCTCCCGACAGGAGAACCTGGGGAAGCTCATGACCAACCTGAGAACCACTCATCCACACTTTGTGCGCTGCTTGATACCAAATGAAACCAAAACTCCAGGTGAGCTGCTGCCAGTTGCTTCCTGCTGTTCCTGCCCACTCTCACCCTGTGCAGCTACAGGAGGAGACGTGGCTGAACATGCTTCCTTTACTAGATTACTTCTCATTAGTTTGCACTTTGAGCACATTATAATGTCACTATGGCTGGAATGAATGAAATCTGATCTTAATCTGTCTGTGTGACGTGTGTCAAACTAAAGGCTCGGGGGCCAGATCCGGCCCGCCACAGCTCTTTATGAGGCCCTGCAGACTCTGGACAGACAAACAGAAAACAGTTTAAATATTATTTTATCAATCAAATCAAAGCAGCTTTTATTCTGCCAAATGACCTCGATGAGAAAAAAGTTAAACGTTATTTAACTTTAAGAGGAAACATTTTTATTAGTGGACAGTTTATACATTTTGACACAACTGGTCGTTTGAGTACAGTCATGATTTTTGTGGACCAAAAATGAAATTCAGTTAATTGTAGATTTTTTAAATATACCATGTAGATGGTGCAATGTAAATAAAGTGGATGGTAGTTTCTCCCAGTCGGAAGTGAGGAAATGATCGTTTGTGTAAAATCAGGTGAGATGGAGAACCAGCTGGTTATTCACCAGCTGCGCTGCAACGGCGTCCTGGAAGGGATCCGCATCTGCAGGAAAGGATTCCCAAGCAGGATCCTGTACGGGGATTTCAAACAGAGGTCAGTTAACATCTAAGCACTGATTAAGGTCAACACATACAGAAAACTCCTCCTCTTCCTCCCTCCTTCCTCCTCCTCCAGGTACAGGATCCTTAATCCCAGCGCCGTTCCTGAGGGTCAGTTCATGGATAACAAAAAGGCTGCAGAGAAGCTGCTGAGCTCCATCGATGTGGATCACACCCAGTACAAGTTTGGACACACCAAGGTTTGTGTTTCCACCTGCTTACGAATAGACACTGCAACGCGGTAACTAAGCAACCAGACGTGATGCTGCGTGACTCCAGGTGTTCTTCAAAGCCGGCCTGCTGGGCGCCCTGGAGGAGATGAGAGACGAGCGTTTGGCGCAGGTGGTGATGTCCGTCCAGGCTCTGTGCCGCCGCTTCCTCGTCCGGATGGAGTATCAGAAGATGATGGCCAGGAAGTAAACACCTCAACACACAGGAAGCAACACACAGACTCAGACAAACACCAAGCAGTTAGTGTGTAAAAACTGAAACAGAAAGTTTCAGCCTGGACTTGGAAAACCTCCTGCTGGTCAGAGAGATGTATTGACAGAAACAACTGAAGGTCGGAAATGTTTTGAAAGAAAAATCAGCTGTAAGCAGTATGAATGAATCAAACTCTGCATGTTGGGCTGAGTTTATTAATGCAAGACTCCTGGACATGCACTGCATTAATTTATCACTTCGTAAAGTGAAAATTCTTTATTTGTTTTTATATAAAACATTTTGCTTTATTTTTTTAGCTTTGGATTTTACAAACCAATGAAGGAAGTAGCAGGCTGGGAGAACCAGAATAATAATAAAATGTCAATATCTACACTTTATTATTTAATAAATAAAAAGGTATAACCTTTTTATTTAAAAAATAATAGGACATTTCAAAAGAAGCCTATGTAATTCAGTGATAAAGCTAAGTATCTTCAGTTTTCATATATTCGGTTTAACACAATTTATTTATATTTCTTTGAAACAGAAACTCAGTTATCTATTTTAAACAAATGAGATCTATGTGTTAAAATTTCCCTAAATATATTTCTAATTATGGTTTGTGTGTTTACAGCCATTTTATCTAAAACTACCTAATTATAATTAAAGCCTGTCTGCTTTATTTAAAATATGAAACCAATGTTCTAAACACATATAAAGAACATAGAAATTCACAAACACACAAAGTTAAAATAGATTTTGGAAAATTAGGTTAGCTCGTTATCTGTAGTACGAGTAGACTAATGTCAAGCTGCTAGCTTAGTGGTTAGCTAGCTTAGCATAAAAACTGGAGGTTAGCATGCAGCTACAGCTAACTTCATTGTGTTGATTTCAAGACTCACTAAATAAAAATTAACAGTTTATTTATTAATGCTTTATATTTTCTGCTAACAAATTAGCTCCACAAGTTTAGACTGTAAATATGTTTAGCTATTTACTGTTATCACATGTTCATGTTATACTTGTTGAAACCATCACTGATTACTGCTCAAAGCATCAAAAGTAAATAAATTATAGTCCCATTGGAAGCAGGTTCTCTGCGTTACCGACGGCTAGCAGCTAGCGATTTTAGGTTAGCTTGGCTTAGCATGAAGGCTAAAGCTGGAGGTTTTCTGGGTGGATTTCTATTAGTTTCTGTGGGATTTGCTTCGTGCACTGGAAACATTCTTCTACATTAATGAGTCTGTTTATTGAAAATGTTTCTGCTTGTAAAATCTTCACAAAAGTCAATAAAATAACGTCCAGTTTAAAGATTTAACTAAAATACAGGAAAAACTGACAGATGTGAGTTCTCTTAAGATATTAAGTTACCTTTAAATTTAGATTTAAAAAGTAATTTCAAATGTGTTTAACCTCATTAGTTATTAATATTTAAATATTATTCAGGATTCTCATGTAAGATGTCTGAACAGGGAGGCCATCTACACGCTGCAGTACAACCTGCGCTCCTTCATGAACGTAAAGCACTGGCCCTGGATGAAGCTGTACTTCAAGCTGAAGCCTCTCCTGAAGAGCGCCGAGGCCGAGAAGGAGATGGCTCAGATGAAAACAGACTTCACGAAGCTGAAGGAGGATCTGAGCCGATCGGAGAGCCGCAGGAAGGAGCTGGAGGAGAAAATGGTGTCGGTGGTGCAAGAAAAGAACGATCTCCTGCTGCAGGTCCAGGCGGTGAGCCCAGCACGTCAGGGCCACATTTCAAAATAAAAGGATGACAACATTTCAAAATAAAAGGATGACAACATTTCAAAATAAAAGGATGACAACATTTCAAAATAAAGGGATGACAACATTTCAAAATAAAGGGATGACAACATTTCAAAGTAAAGGGATGAGAGTAATTTAAAAAAGGCTGAGGATAAAGTCCCATTCTCAACTTTAAGTCATAAAATTCTGACTTTACTCTTGTATTATTTTGACTTTTTCTCAAGAAATGATTTTATTATGAGAATAAACTTAGATTGTTCCAAGAACAAAATTGTACGAGAATAAAGTCATAAAATTCAGAGAATAAATTAGCATTATGACTTTATTTTTGTATTGTTTTGACCTTATTTTCTTAATATTATGACTCTTCTCATAATATTTTTTTATTTTTTCTACTTCCGAGTCACTAACTGTGTTTCAGGAAGCTGACAACCTGCTGGACGCAGAGGAGCGATGCGAAGGCCTCATCAAAAGCAAAATCCAGCTGGAAGCCAAACTGAAGGAGGCGACGGAGAGGCTGGAGGACGAGGAGGAGGTCAACGCCGAGCTGACGGCCAAGAAGAGGAAACTGGAGGACGAGTGCGCCGAGCTGAAGAGGGACATCGACGACCTGGAGCTGACCCTGGCCAAGGTGGAGAAGGAGAAACACGCCGTGGAGAACAAGGTTGGTGCAGAAACCTGAGCTGGACCAAACCCTGCAGGAAGACGATGACGCCGTCCCTCTGATCCTCGACTTCAGGTGAAAAATCTGACTGAGGAGCTCCAGAGTCAAGACGAAAACATGTCCAAGCTGTCCAAAGAGAAGAAAGCTCTGCAGGAAGTCCATCAGCAGGCGCTGGACCATCTGCAGTCTGAGGAGGACAAAGTCACTTCCCTGACCAAAGCTAAAACCAAGCTGGAGCAACAAGTAGACGATGTGAGTACCTCCGACCGCAGCGAAGGTCACCCAGGTTTTAATCCACCTTAAACTGCAGCCGGAAGCTTTTAATCCACCTTAAACTGCAGCTGGAAGCTTTTAATCCACCTTAAACTG